GATTTTTGTAGTTTGCTTACTTTTAAATTCAGTTGGCCACACTGCTTTTGTTACTCTGGTATTTCACACCTTTTATATAAGATCATTGTAGACATGGAATGTCAAAGTGGAATTAAATTATCTGACATTCTTATACATTCAAACGCTCACAAACTCTCACATGTATACTAATACATAAAGTCTAAAACTGCAAAGATTGTTATTATCAGCACTTACTTTTTAATATAGTTCTAATAAAGAAAAAAAAAGCACCAGCCTAGGAGTGGAGACACAGGAGTTCTATTTTCAGCTCTGGCCCTGAGTAGTTACATTTCCCTGTGGAAGTCACTTACAAAAAACAAAAACAAATCCTTTATTGAAGTATGGTTGACATATTAAAAGTTGTACGTACTTAATGTATACAACTTGATGAGTTTGGAGACAAGTATACACCTGTAAAACTATCACCACAGTCTATGGCATAAACATATCCATAGCCTCCAAAAGTTTCCTCCAACCCTCTTTAGTTATTATCATTATTAGTATTTTGTGATAAGAACACTTAACCTAAGATCTACCTTCTTAGCCAATTTTAAAGTATATAATACAGTATTGTTACCTACAGGCACTGTGTTGTACAGTAAATCTCTAGTATTTATTCATCTTGCATAACTGAAACTTTGTACCCTTTGACAAATACTTTGTTTTCCCCTCCTCTAAGCTCCTGGTAGCCACCATTCTACACTCGACTTCTAGGAGTCTGACCATTTTAGATTCCTTATAAAAATGAGATTATGTAGTATTTGTTCTGTGTCTGGTTTATCTCACTTAGCAAAATGTCCTCCAAGTTCATCCATGTTGTCTTAAATGGCAAGATTTCCTTCTTTTTTTAAGGCTGAATAATATTCAATTGTATGTATATGACACATCTCAAAAATCTATTCATCCATCAATGGACTTTTAGATTGCTTTCAAGTCTTAATTATTGCAAATAATGCTGCAATGAATATAGGTGTGCATATATCTTTTCAAGATCCTGATTCCATTTATTTTGTTTTTTTTTTTTTAATTTTTTTCAACGTTTATTTATTTTTGGGACAGAGAGAGACAGAGCATGAACGGGGGAGGGGCAGAGAGAGAGGGAGACACAGAATCGGAAACAGGCTCCAGGCTCTGAGCCATCAGCCCAGAGCCTGACACGGGGCTTGAACTCCCGGACCGCGAGATCATGACCTGGCTGAAGTCGGACGCTTAACCGACTGCGCCACCCAGGCGCTCCATTTATTTTGTATATTTACCCAGACAGCTGGATCATAGCGTGGTTCTATTTTTAATTTTCTGAGGAACCTCTATACTATTTCCCATAGTGGCTGCAATTTACATTCCCACCAACAGTGCACAAATATTTCCTTTTCCCCACTTCCTTGCCAACACTTATCTTTTGTGTTTTTGATAACAGTCTTAAGAGAACTATTTTTGACATTATTTTTGCATGTGTGTGTGTTTGTTTTTTCATTAATGATAACAGGGAGTTATACTAGATTAAGTTGTTCAGCCAACAAATAACCATTGAATGTATATGATGTTTAAGGCCCTGTGCTAGATGCTGGGTAATGCACAGAGTTGCAAGTGGGAAGCAAAACCAGTCCTTGCTCTCTAAATATTTCCTCCAATATATTAACTTCTCTCTCTTATCTATATTCCATTTCAAGTTTCCAACGACATTACTCAAACCATTTAAAACCATACTTACCAACTTCCTGATAAAACTTATTTTCCCTTTTGTGTACATTTGTCTCTGAATGACTACCCATTTTCCAACCATCCAGTGTAGAAATCTTGGAACATGTTTGATTCCTCCTACACCTTCGTTGGACACTTCCAAACTTCCACCAGGCTTTGATGGTTCATCTAAATTTATCTTGCCTACACTTTTCTTTCATTCCAGTTCTCTCTAACCTAGCTTGGGACCTCATCTGTTAAGCACCAGATTGCTATTCTTGCTTGCCTATAGATTCCCCAGCTTTCAGGCACTTTTTCTCCAATCCAATTATTTAAATGTAATATTATGTGATTTCCTAAACCAAGTTTCATAAATGGTTCTTTTTTTGCCCTTTTTAAATATAATTTATTGTCAAATTCGCTTATATACAACGTCCAGCGCTCATCCCAACAAGTGCCCTCCTCAACGCCCATCATAAATGATTCTTAATGCCTGCACTTAGGTCCAAGTTTCTTCGTCTGGCTTCTGAGGTCTGCCATTACCCTTTCCCCTCTACTCTCCCAATGTCAGTCCTTTTTGCTGACCAACACACTCACTTCTCAAATCTATGTCCCTGCTTATGTGGCTTCCCAGATTAGAGTGGCATTGCTTCTTCTCTTATTAAAAGTTAAATCATCTTTCAAGACTCAGCTCAAGAGTCAAGAATCACTTCCTCCTTCTTTTAACTCCCATTGATTTTACAGTCTTTATTATACTGATTAGCACTATTCTTTATTTCTAATTATTAAATATGAGCCCTCTATTAGGTTATAAACTTTGTATTTGTCTTATATCTCCATAGAATGTAGCATAAGCTAGACACACGGGATGTATTACATACATACTTGTTGCTTGATTGGCCCATAGTTTATGCTATGGCTAAAGAAAAACTCTAAATAATCCACCAACAAACATTTGTACATAGACAAGCTATATTTCATCAAGAAAGCAAAATGTATAAGGCATGATCTCTAACCTAAAAAAAAGTTAATATATTATTATCAACATTATCTCACATGTGTGTACAAAATTCTGAATGGTTTGTCTAAAATTCAATTCAGTGTAGGCTCATTCAGAAAGGCCATTAGCAACATCTCCACCCCCCCCCCCCAAGTCCCCCGCCCCAACCTTATTTTCCTATCTACTCTGTGCACTCTTGTTTCTTTCCAAATGATGGTTTGGCTGTCTTCCTTTACTCATCTACACATTCACCTTCTTCAAAGACAAATTCATGACATCAGGCCTCCATTCAGCCTGATTTTGCATTTTCCTGTTTTTTTATTTTACAGGTATCTTGAAAGAGATTCAAGAATGTAGAAGGGGGAAAACTCACAATAGGATGGGCTTATAATAAGGGACAGAAAGAAACTAAAGACATCAAATGGGTGTACCATTTGATGAACTCTTTATTACTGGGGAGAAATATGAACCTTTATTACTCTACTAAGATTCATTCAGGTAACTAAGGACTGCTGATAACACATTGCCCTAAAATCAGGGAGCCTGGACTAGATAATAGAGTAAGTTTAAGGGATTTCCTTACATCAGAATATGATAATCAGACTTTCATAAAATAGGTTAAAAAATTTTGAGTCTCCTTAAGTTCATTTTAAGTAAGTTGTTTAAGTCTTTAAGGCTTGTTATTTGTTATATTTCTCTTTATTTAAAAACAATTGTTAATGTTTATTTATTTTTCAGACAGAGAGAGAGAGAGAGAGACAGAGAGACAGAGAGACAGAGAGACAGAGAGTCAGAGTGTGAGTGGGGGAGGGGCAGAGAGAGAGGGAGACACAGAATCTGAAGCAGGCTCCAGGCTTTGAGTTGTCAGCACAGAGCCTGATGCGGGGCTTGACAAACCCTTGACAAACCTTGACAAACCCATCTCACAAACCACGAGATCATGACCTGAGATGAAGTTGGACATTTAACTAACTGAGCCACCCAGGTGCCCCTGTTATATTTCTCTTTAAAATTTATGTGACTAATAGTAATTACTGAAAAGTAACTTTCATATGTATTTTATTTAAAAGTTAAGCTTTTTAAAGAAAAATATATACTGAGTTTCAGTTTGTTATAGCTTACATCCGAGAAGCTCCGCCCGCTCACATTAATCTCTGAGAAGCAGAGCTCCTGGAATTGCAGGCATAATGCCAGCAGAATAAAATTGGTGTCTAGAGCGATGACTTTTCCCATTTAACCTTAGAAGGGGGGGGATGGAGTGGTAAGTGAGAGTACAGGATGGAAGGACAGAGAACATATAATTCATACTCTATTATTAGATTTCTCACCTAAGATATTTGTAAGGAAAGTAGAGACTGAAATGCTTCCAAAAATTCTAGTTTGTACCTAGGATATAATATTTGTACATAGAAAATGTGAGAACTCAAGTTCTTACTATTGATCATTTTGGGGAAATTATGATCAAATTAACTGTAAAAGATAAAGTGAAACATCAAAAATCCATATCTTTTTATTTATGAAATATAGTAGAGTGATTGATTACTGTTTTCCTAGGAGATATAAATCCCTTTTTGTTTATTCTTTTAGTTACTAGAATAATTTAATTTACTTTAAGTTATTAAACTGTAGCAAAGTTTAACAAATTCTTGGTCTTTTTTTCCTATAAGTTCCAATTTAAAAAAGGAACACTAAAAATTACGTTAAGTATACAGCAAAAGAGCTTTAATATTAATTTTGTGTAATTTTCAACAAGTTAAATGTGGTTTAAAAGTCATACCTAAAGTGAAATGAACTATTATCAAAGGGTTTAAAAGTGTATAAAAGAAATTCAGTAAAGTTCATTATAAACCATAAATCAAACTCAGTAGGTCAGTAAATCACCAAAAAATTAGTCCAATAATATTTTGTGATATTAACCCTTTTGATCTCATTGGGATCTCATCTGGCTCCCAATACTTGCAGCTGAATTTTAGCTGTTCTAAAATGAGAAGAATCAAAGAACTCTTGTCAGAATAACATAATTACAGAACAATGACTATTTTGGACAAGGACCTTCTTTGAGGTCAACACAGGCTTAGAAATCACTAACCACTTCCTTTAATATTGCCAAGGAATTTTCCTTTTCTTTTTTTTTTTTAACTGGGTCAGTTTCCATTACCGAATGATTAAGACTGCATTTTCTACCATACATAATTCATTCTGTTGAAGTCTCATTCATAAAACAGACTGTAGCTAAATAAGATTTTCCATTATCTTAGAAGAAAATTAAAAAACAACCCAACAAAATCAACCAGCTTACCATTTTCCTTCTTCATTTTCATATTGTTGAACAGTATATCCAAACATGTCTTCCACTGGGCCACTGAAAGTCACTGAATTTTTCACATCAACATTGAATGATACGCAGAAGCCTAAAACAACTTTAAGAGGGAAAAAAAAGTCCAGTTACACAGAGTTAACTAAGATTCCATCATGTTTTGAATTATGGAAGACATGATTAAAAACCGTGCTCTTATTAAAAAGAGAGATGATGTTCAAAAAATTGAGAACTGCAAGAAAGGTCTATGATATTAACTGCATTACTGACTTTAAACCAATATCATGGCTAAAGAATTCAAGTACTGACATTCGAACAAAATCCTATAGTAATTCAGTAGCTATACCATTCCCAAAGCTTGTGATTTCAGGATGTGTGAGAGAGCTGGCAGAAAGTCATGCTTATTTGTGCCTAATGGGAGTTACGGATAGCTTTCCAGTAATGAGCCCTACAGGGAATCATGGCCACTAATGAAATGTAAACAACTTCATTTTCCTGTTTTGACTACGCAAGTATCACCATTTAAATCCTCAGGACAGGAAGCTTTCTCCTTGCTGCTTCCAAAGGAAAAGCAAGCTGATTGTCTTCACCCAGAAATGGCTTCCTAAACAGGCCCGAGATTTGCTCTGCATCCCTCTCAATCAATATGCTAGAATCTCCTTAAAGTGTTGTCGGTGGTGATAAACACATAGGTTGCTGTCGATGATGTATCTAAATCAGATGACATAGCTAGAGTTTACTCAGTGCCTGGCACATATTAGATATCCAATGAGGGCTAATTCTCTTCCATTTCCTTGTAGTTCAGGTAATGAAAACACTTTACAAGTGAGACTCTCTCCTAAAAAGAGTTCTGAATGGTGCCAAATTCCATGTTTGGTGCTAGTTTTTAAAGTATACTTGTGAAATCACAAAGTATTCCCCTCCTAGATGAAATTAAGAATTCTTTCCAAAGAGCACTCCCTTATAAAATTACAAAGCATCATAAGATACATTCAGAGGTGATTAAATTCACTGTCCTTTGTTAAAATCATGATATAGCTACACATATCCTGAAAAATTCTCTTTCCTTACTCATTATAAAGTCTTCCATAAATATAGTCTAAATTCAGACTCAAACTCATTCTATACTCTAATTTACTATCTTCAAATTTTAACATTATTAAGTTCTTTTTTTGCCCAGGGTTGTACCTAATTTATAGAAAATTTTGTCCTTAAAAAAATATATTTATATATACTTATTTATGAAAAAGGATACTTATGTATACCTATTTATAAAGTTGTCCTTGATTTTTCCAACTGGAAATAATCTTTTAACTACTAAACCATTCTCTTTCATCTTTTAAATATCTCTCATGAAAATAATTATTAAATACTATTTTATTTACATTGTAATTATCTGTGTGTGGTTTTCTTCCCCAAGATTGGAAAATTCTTAAAAGCAGAGACTCTTTTACTCATCTTTCTTATCCCTTCCCCTAATCTAGCACAGTTCCTTGTACACAGATGGGCAATAACATATTTGTAGAATGAACACTTTGAAGGAGAAAGTGTACCAGTTGAAGTTAGAAGTGAACTGGCAACTGCTTCATTTTAGTTCAGAAAGACTTAATGGAGATGGAAATTTTCCAGTTAGATTTTTAAAGGGAGGGAGAAAGTCAACTTGGCAGTGTGAAGAAAATATGTCCCAAGGATTTGGGAGGGTCTCTGCAAGTAGTAAGAAGCAAAATGGGACAAATATGGTTACAATATCATAGAGAGATTTGCCTCGCTGGCTTGGAAAATGCAGAAAAAGAATGGATGGGTAGCATAGGTCCATTTATGTACATTTCCTGCTCATACTTCAAGTGTGATGAAGAACAGCTGGTTACCATCTTCTGCGTAATTGCCTTTCATATATTTGAAGACAGTTTTAAACACAGTTCACTCTACTCCAGACTATTTAGTCTCCTACCTATCTCTCACTGGTTTATTTATTTTTTAAATTTTTAATAGATCATTTTTTAAAATTTTTAAATATTTATTCATATTTGAGAAAGAGAGTGAGACACAGACTCCAAGTGGGGGAGAGATAGAGAGAGAGACAGAAAGAGAGAGAGAGAGAGAGAGAGAGAATCTGAAGTAGACTCCAAGGCTCTGATCTGTCAGCATACAGCCCAACGTGTGGCTTGAGCTCATGAGCTATGAGATCATGACCTGAACCAAAGTCGACTGAGCCACCCACGTGCCCTAAGATTATTTTTGATATGAGAGATACACAAAGTAGTATGTCTACAACAGGATTTCTCACCTCTAGTGTTATTGACATTTAGAGTCAGAAAATTCTTTGTTATGAAAGTCTATCCTGTGTATTGTAGCAGCATGTGTGGTCCTTGTCCACATGATGCCAGTAGTACTGCTTGCATTGTGAAGATCAAAAGTGTCTCCAGACACTGCCAAATTCCCCTGGGACCAAAATTGTCCTGGGTGAAACTCACTCTTCCGTAGATAAGGACCAGAACACCACCACCAAGAATGTTGAAGATGATGGAGAAACAACTGGCCTGCAGACCAGTAGCATTTGTATCACCCAGAGCTTGTGAGGGATCCAGAATCTCAGGTTCCACTCAGATTTCCTGAATCACTGTCTCCATCCCCACAAGATCCCCAGAAAGTGCGATTCCTGTGAAGGTTTGAGAGGAACAAGTCTATAATATGGTACCCCTCTTTCATAATGTTGATACAGGTAACATAATTTACCTAACTTAAAAGTATTCACCATCCTTTAGACAAAAGGTGGGGGTGGGGAAGATTATCTTTAATCAGGGTCAAGTTCACCCCTCTTGAAGTATTTTTCCAGAAGTTTATTATCCTTACTGTATGTTCTCCCAAAGGCCATTCATGATACTCCTCACTATAAGACCAAGAGCTTTTGGTTTCCTTTTTAGGCCTGTTTATTCCACATGTTGTGTGGAATGTCCGGGGGTGTGTGCTGCACTTTTTTTTTTTTTCTTCATTTCCTGTCCTCAGAATTCTACAGGCAATTTGCCCAAAGTGATCGTAAATCAGTCTCTTTCAAGTTTGTTAAGGCACAAAGGAGCCTGAAGCACAGGAGATGACATAAAAAAAATAGTTTACATCTTGTTCTTTTGATTTAAAGGAGCACATAAACAGTGAAAGCTTCTCGTGACTTTGAGTTCGATGTTCATTTTGTTATACTAAGTTGTCTTGGAACTTTCTGTACCAGAGGTAAAGCAAAAATCATACTTATTCTCCATCAAAGCCAAAAAACAAAAACAAAAACAAAACAAAACTGAGGTGGCTTAAGCAGTCATATAAGATGAAAATGATGGGAAATAAAACATAGACAATAGTCAGATGTCAAAATGAAATTCTGATTTCCATGCAGCAGCAAAAGGGGGATTTTTCCCTTAATAAGCACAACATTGCGTACTTATTATGTGTTGCTCTTCACATGCTCCTTCTCATATAATTTGTCCCAGGCCCTACAATGAAATAGTGTTATTATCACCACTGTACAAATGGAGAGTCAGAGGCTCAGGATAGCGGAGAAATTTGCCCACGTTTCCCCAGGATTCCCAAACATTCACCTGAATTCAATATCTACATCTTATCCCTAAAACTGAAAAGGGATAGTAGAAGGTGATGCAAAGATGGGTCTAGAAGAGAGGCTACTATTAGTTCATGTAATTACATCTCCTGAGGGGCAAAATTGGGGAAGAGGCCCTTCTAGAGTGGTCATAGCTAGGGAAATGAGGATAAGGAGAAAGATTGGAATGAGGAGAGAAGTCATGGCTACAGAGCTCTAGATAAAGCATCATGAGGGACTTCAGTCAAAACATTCATGTTTAGGTAGAAAAGAAATAGAAAGGCTTGCTCTCTTTCAAATATGGCTGTATGTGTTATATATCTAATATATCTAAGGACTATGAGAAGGAAGAAAGATGAGGAAGAAGATGAGATTGTTAGTTTTGAAGGGTACCTCTTGTTAAAAAAAATCATTTTGCACAATTTCTTTGCCCCAGGATGGAATTTGATTTGTAAGACAACTAAATGAGAGAAAGAGAAAAAAGAGAGGAAGAGAGGGAGAAGTAACCTACAATCGTATGGTATTTTCTGCTTATAAACATTTTGCCACTTAGAAACATTTTCATATAAAAAAGGTATTGAGCTAGACAATAAACTGTGAAGGTTAGGCAAAACAGCAGTGACTATTCTTTTCTTGTGTGTTAGGAAACTGGAGCTTAGAGGGGTAAAGTGATTGGCCTAACATTAGGCTGTGTTAGTGGCAGAGACAGGACTTCAACATTTGTCTTCTGAGGTCAAATCACAGACTTTCCATGACAACAGTGCTATTGAGGTGGTCAGATTAATAAAAGTAAAAATAATAATCGAGGTCAAGAGAACTCTCAAAAGGGCCATGAGGGCTCTTAATCATCTTGTAGCTTTGGATTATTTGAGGATAAGGACTGGCAGGAAAAGCTGAATGAAGGGGGCAAAGTCTGGGCATCTCCCAAGGGCATTGACTCTCTGGTCAAAGAAGACCTTCTTCCTCCACACATCCTCTGAGTTCCAAGAAAAGTCACTGCAGCCTGTTTGATTTTTTTGCTTCTTAATGAAAAAAGTCTGTCTTTCACAGGGTGGTCCAGAAATTCTGATCTAGTAATATCCAGACTGAAGCATTTAATAGCTAATGGAATTTTGAATATTTAAAATTCTAAGCCGAAGGGAAAATCAAATCAATGGTGACTAGGGATAGATATTAAAATGCTATTGCCTTTTTCAACAACTTCTTATACATTTATCCAATCTGGAAATAGGAGCAATCATGGTATTAGCATTATATTTATTGTTTTTAAAGAGGGAATTGCCATAATATTAAGATAGGAAATAGTAATAATTGTGTTATTATAGTTGATGGTTTTTAGAGCCAATTCTTTGATTGTATAGAAAGATGCTAATCTTTAGAGATAGATGAACCTAGTCTTAAACACAGCCCTTTCGTTTATACTCTGTATGTAATTATTCACATTTATTCAACTACTCCACAAATAGTCATCAAAATTTTACTTTAGGTTGAATATATGACTCTACCTAGAGGTAGAT